GTTGTAATTATTTTAATTATTTTTATTTCCAAACTGATTTTAACCAGTTCTATAGTAAGGTAACATTCCAATAGACAATATGCAAAGCTTTTTTTTCAGTTTACTGCAGTATTTATTACACAAAATTTAAGTAAAGCTTAACATGCCGATCTTGCCCCGATCTCCCCTAATATTACATTGCCTTTATAAGCATTTTTATGCATGAAATACTGCTAAAAAGGTAAAAAAATTATTTTGTTTTGGAGGTCGGGAAGAGATTAACCCATTTTATAATGTTTCTTATGGAAAAATTTGTTTCGGTTTTCGAACAACTTTTATGAACGAATTAAGTTCGAAACCCGAGGTTTGATTGTATATGTATATACAATCAAACCTCGGGCATGGAAGTACGCCAAAACTTCGATATAGTGAAATCAAGTGCGATCTGGATCGTGATCCCTAACGGTTTGCATCAAGCATAGCTGGAATACACTCATGGTATCAGGTATTACTGACTCTACTTCTCGTGCATTTCATCTCGTTTACCTATAAAGAATAAACATTTCACAGTAATGTTCGTGAGTATAAGACATTCTCTCAGTGCTCTACCAATTAGCGAAGTGTATGATAGTGGCTCGTTTGCAAGGACATTGACATCGAATGTCGTAAAGGTCGCATTTTTAATTTGCATCTTTGGAAATTCACATATTGTTTGGAACTACTGCACAATTTACGTATGTCTCTTTTTTGAACAAATTACTTTGGTTTAATTAAACAGCGCAGTGAAATTAATGCACCGTAGACATATATTCGTGCAATGCTGGGAAGACGTCTTTTGCGCCTGGATAAATGTTAACACACTATTATTTATAAACAAAAAAATATCATACTTTCGATTATAGATCTGTTTTCTAAATATTTAAATTTACTTTTATTAAAAACAATTATTCTAAATTATTTTTATTTGCATGAAAATAATATTCTAAAACAATTGCAATGGAATGAGACGTTCCACTAATTCCATAACAGGCTAATAATTTTACAACTTCGAGAGTTATAAAAGTCTAATATAAATAAATTATATTATTTTTCAGACAATATTAATTAAAAATGAATGTCTAAAAGCAGTCGTAGGGATATGTGAATATCAATAACTTATATACTGTATTTTTAAATTTTAATTTTTTACCGTCGCAGAGAATACCAAGAAAATCATTCTATTTGGTCGACGTTTTATCTTTGCTTCTAATTATTATGCATTAATTGATATTATATTGTATAGGATTGGAAGTTCAAAAGTATGATTGCTAATTGTATGGTAGTTTTCAAATAAATAATGACAGAATTGAAAGAGAACAGAGAACATCGTCCACGTTGATACCGAAATCAGCTCAGATGATGTACGAAGAATTTACGTTCAATTAATTACGTCCATTAATTTACGTTAAATATACGGCCAATATTATTATGAATAACTAAGTTATTCTTATTATTATTGTGAATTTAAAAGGAAATTTCTTGAGTATCCGCATGAAATCCTTTCTGTAGTTACAGAAAACAAACTAACTTGCTTTCCACACATAAAATCGTATTTAAATTATTACATCATTTATGCCGTTGTCGTTATGTATTGTGTTAATCATCTGAAGATCAATTTTCTTCATTGTTATTATTTGTTTAGACAATAACACTGGTCTGCAAGTAAAAAACTGCATAGGATTTTTATATATTTTCTTATAGATTTCAACTTGGTAAAAACAAAAAAAAATACGAAAAAATTCCATCTCGTCAATTTTTTTTTGTTATATTCAAGTTTTTGTTTGTATTTAGCGTAAAATTCCTAGTTAACTTAAAATTTACTATTCTTTTTTTTTCTTATTTAAAAAATGGCCTTAAAACGAAGACTTCTCACATTAATTCTATCAATTATAGCTGGACTTGGCAATAAATAAATAAAAATGTTAATGGTTAAAGAGAGTAGTGGTAGGGGGAGATGGGTTAAATAGTTTTAGCGTTAGGAGGAAGGTCGCATGATCGTGTAGAAACAGGTTAAAAGTTGATAGTGAGTAATATTACTGGTGAGGTTGAGCATGTTTCGATAAGCTAAATAAGTTCAGTATCTCGCTGGTCATCTAATGCCACACACAGTTTATATCTAACATTCAAACACTACTGTGCTTGTATTTTTATTTCTGGAATATGGCTCGCAGAGGTTTGTAATTTCCTCTACGGGAGCTATTATTACCCGACAGCTTCTATTATGTTTGTGGTGAATACACAGTGAAAAGTCAACATCCCCTTTATCTGATCCCCTATTTTTGGAAACAATGGGAGAAATGGAAAAAGAAGCATGGGACTCTTTTAAGAATGTAGTGCATAAATTATTGCGGAATACTAAGGACCCTGACTACTAAACCATTGTATAATGCATGTTGGCAGCGTATGAAGCTTCAAGGATGAAAGATGAGCTTAAAAGTTCATTTCTTACACTCCCGTATTGACTATTTTCCCGAAAACTCGGGAGCCTACAGTGAAGAACAGGGTGAAAGATTTCACCAGGATGTCCGTGATATCGAGAGACGTTCGTTACCAAGGAAAATGGGACGTCAATATGTTAGCGACTACTGTTGGATGCTCAATCGAGAAACCAGAGAAGGAAATCAGAAACGAGTTCGGAGAAGTATCAAAGAGAAGAAGAAAAGGTGTCATAAGAATATATAATATATTTAGTTCATTGTAATAAATATATAAAATATTTGTTTTTATTNCTAGAAGTTTAGCAATGGTGTTTGGATAGTCAGTGGAATTATGCTCGACATTCCAAACACCACTGTAAAACTTCTAGGCATACAGGAAAGCGGCGCTGAACGTTCGACGTACACGTTTTCGCGTTTAAATTTCGGCCTCAACCTCGCTATTAAATTATCCTTTATCTTTAACATTGGATGGTGCGGTGATGGTTGTTGCCACCCCACAGATATTTTTTTTTCTCACATTTATGTTCTGTAAATTTATTGCTGTTTGAATGCTCAATAATTTTAATTTTATTTAGTTTTTTATACATTTTCTACAACTGTAACCACTTAAATTGTTAATAAATGGGCCTCATAACTGTCGTGAGAAAAAGGCGAGAACGAGAACTAGTATTGTGACCGTTAAAGCAAATTTTGTCCTGTCTTTTTTTAGCAGGAACGAGAAGCATAAACACAAAGACCATTTATTACATAACATATTTTTGGTCTGTCGAGGCGGATTAAATCCGATAACAAAGAATTGCAATCATTTACAGTGAGGAACGTCTCTTCAAGAAACTTTTTGATGCAGTGCGTTAAGCCTAACCTCGAGGGTATTGCGTTGGTTGGAATATCGAGCAAATTTCAGTACAACATTAGCAAGTGAGTAGAAAGTTTCTATCGTCTCTCGGGATTCGTTCAGTAAACGTAACCGTACTAGTTTAATATAGCATATTGCAAGTTAGTATTCATCATGGACATCTCGCAACAAAAAAGAAACCGTAAGGTTATTAAACAAAGCATAACAAGACATTACAATTTTGCCTTTGGTAGTGAAGCTCAAAATGCAACTATTCATATTCTTTGCACAAGAATCACGTTATTAGACGATACGTGTAAAGAATATCTTAATATAAGTAACAGCATAATCATGTATGGTACAGATGAACAATCAACAGCTCAAGAAAAGGCTTATGAAGAAGTAGAAGAAAAATATATTCAAGTACGATCTAAATTATAAGCATTAATCGACGAAAAGGCACCAATAACAGAGACATCAACACACATCACCGAGACAGTCGAATGCATGATTTGAAGGGCAGGCAAACTCCGCGTCGATAAAATTGCCAAAAATTGAACTACCAACATTTGACGGAGATTATTTAGAATGGATCAAGTTCAAAGACTTCTTTTCAGCAATAGTGCATAGCAATGCAACTTTAACAAACGCGCAAAAACTTCATTACCTTAAATCAATTTTAAAGAGAGAAGCTGAACAACTCCTACACTCCATTGAAATCAGTGATAGTAATTATACAGAAGCATAGAAGATACTGCAATATAGTTATGAAAATGAACGACAGACTATTAAATTAACAGTCATCTTAAAGCTCTTTTTCAACAGCCACGTGCAAGGACTGATTCCGCGAGTGAAATCAAACGACTACTAGACACTACTGTCAGAGCATTAGCAGTGTTAAAATTGCCGACAAATCATTGGGATCACATTTTAGTTTATATGTTAAGCAACAAACTTAATAATGAAACAACAAAACAGTTAGAATTAAAAGCTACAACGAGTACATTCCGTACATTCAATGAGTTGAAGCAATTTCTGGAGCAGAGATATCGTGCTCTAGAGATTTCCGTGAGCAATATGTTGAAACAAAGAACACAACAAAACATAGGAAAACTATCAAGTACACTCAAAGCTCATAGTGTGACCATTTTAAGTTGCTCAGTTTGCAAAGAGATTAGGTGAAAGTTTGTTATTTGTAATCGATGTAACGTATAAATCACAGGTTCTCAAACTTATTTCAACCATCGGCCACTTTGAGATTAAAAAAATCTAGTGCCTCCATATTTTTTAACTTACCTTTTTACGTTACCATTTGTTACCATTTGTTACCATCTGTAAAACCGCTTTTATACGGAAGTCCATTCGAGAATCATCCTTCTGTCACATTCGAGGTTTGAAGTCACGTCCTGGTTTTGAGCTCATACATCAGAGGCAAGCCGTCCATCGATTAAATTACAAACACAATTAAAAATACGATTAATTCACAAAAGTCCGAAGGAAATGATTCCTAGCTTTTATACGAAAGTCCATTAGAGAATCATCCTTCTGTCACATCCGAGGTTCTAAGTCTCGGAGACTTCGGTCACATCCGAGTTTTCAGGCCATATCCGAGGCAAACTGTCAAATCCAGGAAAAGTCAAGCCCGCGTTACAGAGTCAAGTCAGGTAAATAAAGTCACAACTCGGTAAATCGCACTCCACAACTGACGAACTGGAAGATTGGACCACGCTAGTTAACTTCTAACCTTCAAGGTTTCTGAGTTCCTCTCGAACTTCTCCAGTTCTATACTTTCGATCTTTGTGAGGGGAGAGTCATTGTGAAAGTAAAAATTGAATTTAAACCACATTCAATCTATGAAAATGACACCCGAAAAGACGATTGCGAAGACGTAACTCATTGTCCATAAGTGGATAAACTTTAATTTTCTTACAGCCACCAAAGCAGGAACAAGAGACTTCCCGCACATTCCTTATCACTTTCAGCAATTTTGAAAGCGCCCCTCTCATAAAATGGTCCGAATGACGTTCATTTCAATCGATCTCGATGTCCTCGGTCCACATTTCGGCCTCGATCTCGTCGCTCATATGAGCTAATCTCAGTCGGTATATCTTAGACCGACTCCAATAGAACTTCGGCTCGACCCATTCGATACGTCGGGCTTGCTCCGAACACTCTGAAAGAAACTCCGGATCGGGCTGAAATCCATTAGATTCTGGATCCTCCAAACGTCGAGGAAGAACCAATATTTCGAGCGGAATTCCACTGACTTCCGGATTCTCTGTGGGACCATGTCCCATCTCTTCATCTCTCTGCTTTTCTCTCTCTACACCTATCTTGTTGTTCGTGGGAATTCCAAAGATCCTACGCAAGAAACTCTTTCTCTATCCACTCATTTCACTCTTCGAAAATCACAAAACAGCTAAGAACGCAAATGAAAGCCTTCGAAACAATCGAAAAGAAAAACTATTGTCGATGAGCGCTAACAATAAACTATCGATTGTTGAGAAAAATGAATATTTTTGCCTACAATTTTTTTTTTCCTTTATGGGTTTGTATAAGAATTTTTATGGGACTTATTACACTGGTGTAGTTTTCGATTAGTAAATAGAGATTACAATTAAACAATTAAAAAAGGGTTTTTTAAATTCTTTTATAAAAATTGTTTTAGAATATTGTAAACCTGTGGAAGAGTACATTCAGGTCCGAAACACAAAAACAGGGGGTACAGGTGAAAATAAAGCTATTTTGTTTTGGCTTTTTGACTAAGATCTCTATTTACTAATCGGAAACTACAGTGTAATAAGTCCAATCAATTAATTAAACAAGGTCCAAATAGACAAGGATATAAACAGGAATATATCTATTAGTTGTTTCGAACGCCTCGCTTTTCGAACAATTCGGCTTACAAACAAAGTTTTGAACTCTTTTGCTCCAGTTGCAGTAAAATAACTCTGTTGACGAATAAGCTACTCAGCAGAGCAGACCACAGATGGCCAACTTCCTACATTTCCTATGTTAAAGAAAGTCGACTCGACCAATCAACGACGGGACTACTGATTCAGAAGTTAGTGGCGTCATCGATGATTTGTATAGAATAGAACGTCATCGATGACGTTGCTATTTAAATTATATTTTATATTTCAATCAGTGTGGAATTAATTAAATTACATTTCAGTGTGGATAAAGTACTTGTTGTGTGTCTTGATAAAATTGTTTATATTTCATCTTGGCAGTCAGAGTTGAGTCTCTATTTATACAAGTTCTTTGTAAAGTGTTAGTTTCGATTTCGATTGGTGACCGAAAATCAATTTTAAAGAGAGAAGCTGAACAACTCCTACACTCCATTGAAGTCAGTGATGGTAATTATACAGAAGCATGGAAGATACTGCAAGATAGATATGAAAATGAACGACAGATTATTAACAGTCATCTTAAGGCTCTTTTTCAACAGCCACGTGCAAGGACTGATTCGGCGAGTGAAATCAAACGACTGCTAGACACTACTGTAAAACATGTCAGAGCATTAGCAGTGTTAAAATTGCCGACAGATCATTGGGATCACATTTTGGTTTATACATTAAGCAACAAACTCGATGATGAAACAAGAAAACAGTGGGAATTAAAGGCTACAACGACTACATTTCCTACATTCAATGAGTTGAAGCAATTTCTGGAGCAGAGATATCGTGCTCTAGAGATTTCCGTGAGCAATATGTGGAAACAAAGAACACAACAAAACATAGGAAAACTATCAAATACACTCAAAGCTCATAGTGTGACCGTTCTAAGTTGCCCAGTTTGCAAGGAGGCACATCATGTTTTTTACTGTCCAGCGTTCCAGAAACAGAACGTGAAAACTCGTAAGGTCACTATCAAGAATGCTGGACTCTGTTTTAACTGTTTTAAGGGTAATCACTCAGTGAAAGACTGTAAATCTACATCTACATGCAAGCATTGTCGTAAGAAACATAACACCATGCTACATGAAGACGAATCTCCCGCTCAAGTTTCAGCATCAAACGCAGCATCTTCTTGTATAACAGCGAATTGCAACACTAGTGAAGTGATTATTACACACCACGCATCTGAAACTCAACAAAAAACTGTCTTGTTAGCGACGGCAGTGGTAAATGTGATTGACTCGTTTGGAACCAAACAT